AATATGGCACAAGAAAATAATTGTTAAAAGTACATATTAGCTATAGTCTGATGTCTCACAATAATAACACACCTTATCATGGTGGAGGGGTTTGCGTGTTCCAATGATCCCAGGAGCTAAGTTGCCTGGGGCTTTATGCCCCTGGTAGGGTCACCCAAGGCAAACAGGTCCGGGGTGAGGAACCAGACGAAGTGCGGCTAATAAGACCCATAATGATGCACAAAATAATGGAACCACGGTTTCCCTTGCCTGGACGCGGGTCACCGGGGCTCCCCCCTGGAGCCAGGCCTGGGGGTGGGGCTCGATGGCGAGCTGGTGGCCAGGCCTATACCCATGGGGCCTGGTCGGGCACAGCCCAAACAAGGCACGTGGATCCCCCCTCCAATGGGCTCACCAGGAGGGGCCATAGGGGTCAGGTGCGAAGTGAGCTGGGCAGTGGCCGAAGGCGGGGACCTTGGTGGTCTGATCCTCGGCTGCAGAAGCTAGCTCTTGGGACATGGAATGTCACCACTCTGATGGGGAAGGAGCCTGAGCTGGTGCGCGAGGTTGTGAAGTTCCAGCTAGACATAGTCGGGCTCACCTCGACGCACAGCTTGGGCTCTGGAACCAGTCTCCTCAAAGGGGTTTGGACCCTCTTCCACTCTGGAGTTGCTCACGGGGAGAGGCGCCGAGCAGGGGTGGGCATACTTATTGCCCCCTGGCTGGGCGCCTGTACATTGGGGTTTACCGCAGTGGACGAGAGGGTAGCCTCCCTTCGCCTTTGGGTGGGGGGACGGGTCCTGACTGTTGTTTGCGCTTATGCGCCAAGTGGCAGTTCAGAATACCCACCCTTTCTGGAGTCCTTGGAAGGGGTGTTTCAGAGCACTCCTCCTGGGGACTCTCTTGTTCTCCTGGGGGACTTCAATGCTCATGTGTGCAATGACAGTGAGACCTGGAGTGGCGTGATTGGGAGGAATGGCCCCCCTGATCTGAACCCGAGTGGTGTTTTGTTGTTGGACTTCTGTGCTCGTCACGGATTGTCCATAATGAACACCATGTTCAGGCATAAGGGTGTTCATATGTGCACCTGGCACCAGGACACCCTAGGCCGCAGTTCGATGATCGACTTTGTAGTCGTGTCATCAGACTTGTGGCCGCATGTCTTGCACAATCAGGTAAAGAGAGGGGTGGAGCTGTCAACTGATCACTACCTGATGGTGGGTTGGCTCCGCTGGTGGGGGAGGAAGCCGGCCAGGCCTGGCAGGCCCAAGTGTATAGTGAGGGTCTGCTGGGAACGTCTGGCGGAATCCCCTGTCAGGGGGAGTTTCAACTCCTACCTCCGGCAGAACTTCTCCTATGTCCATTGTGGAGGCGGCTGAACGGAGCTGTGGCCGTAAGGTGGTTGATGCCTGTCGCGGCGGCAATCCCCAAACTCACTGGTGGACACTAGTGGTGAGGGATGCCGTCAAGCTGAAGAAGGAGTCCTATCAGGCTTTTTTAGCCTGTGGGACTCCAGAGGCATCTGACAGGTACAGGCAGGCCAAGCAGGGTGCGGCTTCGGCGGTCACTGAGGCAAAAACTCGGGTTTGGGAGGAGTTTGGAGAGGCCATGGAAAACGACTTCTGGATGGCTTCGAGGCGATTCTGGTCCACCATCCGGCGGCTCCGGGCGGGAAAGCGGTGCAACATCAACACTGTTTATGGTGGGAATGTGGTGGTGACCTCAGGATTAGGTCTCTGCTTTTTGCAGATGATATGGTTCTGTTGGCTTCATCGGACCGTGACCTTCAGCTCTCGCTGGGACAGTTCAGCACCTCCAAATCCGAGACCATGGTCCTCAGCCGGAAAAGGGTAGAATGCTCTCTCCGGGTCGAGGATGGGGTCCTCCCCCAAGTGGAGGAGTTTAAGTATCTCGGGGTGTTGTTCACGAGTGGGGGGACAATGGAGCGGGAGATCAACAGGCGGATCGGTGCGGCATCCGCAGTGATGCGGGCGCTGCATCACTCTGTCATGGTAAAGAAGGAGCTGAGCCAAAAGACAAAGCTCTCGATTTACCAGTCGATCTACGTTCCTACCCTCACCTATGGTCACGAGCTGTGGGTAGTGACCGAAAGAATGAGATCGCGAGTGCAAGCGGCCAAAATGAGTTTCTTCCGCAGGATGGCTGGGCTTTCCCTTAGAGATAGGGTAAGGAGCTCGGTCATTCAGGAAGGACTCAGAGTAGAGCCACTGCTCCTCTGCATCGAGAGGAGCCAGATGAGGTGGCTCGGGCATCTGATTAGGATGCCTCCCTGGTGAGGTGTTCCGGGCATGTCCCACTGGGAGGAGGCCCCGGGGAAGATCCAGGACACGCTGGAGGGACTATGTCTCTCGGCTGGCCTGGGAACGCCTCGGAATTCCCCCAGAGGAGCTGGATGAAGTGGCCCAGGAGAGGGAAGTCTGGTGTTCCCTGCTGAGACTGCTGCCCCCACGACCCCACCTCGGATAAGCGGGAGATAATGGATGGATGGATGGACAATAGCACTATATTTATACACATATGTACAACGGTATTGTTCCGGTTTGAGACTGAGTCTATCGTTTAAACGGAAATTACGTATTGGGGTTTGGGAAGATGGATTCTGTCGTTTTAACGGAAATGACGTAGGGGCTTAAGAGTGGATGGGGCCTGACAGAGGACACGTACTCTCAGGCCCCTTCTGCAGCATAGAGCAGGTAGCTCTCTCAAACACTGCAGCATGTGTAGAGTTGCGTTACTCTGCCCCGATCACAGACAGCACTGTCCTCGGAGACACAGAGCTGCCTTCCTGGATAAAGCTTTCGCTTAAAAATTAACAAACACTATCTGCCAAACTAAAAAGAGTCAGTAGATGGCGCACTTTCTCATATTCCTTTCCATGTAAAATACAATGAAATAAATTATATTAAATACATCAAATACTTTTTAACTGAAACACTGCATCTTGTAAAAACAGAACAGGGACACTTTTATTGATTTAAGCTCTATTTTACATGTATCTTCATTTTCATTGACTTTTCTATGGAGCCACGAAGGGGACATGGGAGGAGAATATAATTAATAGAAGAAAACAAGTCCAACTATGAATACAAATTGTAACACTGATGGGGCACTAATACATACCAATAACTTAGCAAGTTACTACTGAAGTACAAATCATGATCATGAGCAAATATAGTTGATTCTTCAGATAAAAGCGACATGATTCATTCACATGAACAAGCATGAGATCAGTATTTCACTTATGTTATTGATTACTTGTTCCTTCAGTGGTTCACAAAAGTTTACAGAATTAGTAATAAATATAGTAACTGCTTGGGATAAAAGATGCATCATGATTCAGTAATGATGTACAAACATGAGATTCATATTTTATTTGTGTTATTCATGTTTTGTTCCTTCAGAAGTTCCATCAGTAGTTCACAAAGATTTATACAATTAACATATACAGTAACACATATAGTAGCTGCTTGATAAAGCATGCATCACTATTCATTAATGATGAATTAACATGAGATCAGTATGTAACTAAGACTTAGGTTGTGGTTAATTAGTACATAAGTAATAGTATAATACTACATTATTTGTGCCCTGTCAAGTGTTACCAAAAACCTATTAATGGACATATCTGTCGTGAAATCTTGCAAAAAGACTCATAATTGTTTTTCCATAATTTTTTTTTCTTCTCCCATGTCCTTTTAGGGGCTCCACGCTATTCTTTGGTTATGGGCATGAAATAGGAAGGACAACATTATTTTCATTTCTTAACAAAATATAGAGGCCAATATCCGAGATTCACTATCAATGCTATTTTGACATTAAACA